TCGGGTCCATTTGTAAATATAAACCATCCAGGGACCCTTCCAAATACATGCAAAAAAATCATCAAAATCGTGTGAACCTATTTGAGTCTTGGCGAGGCTAACAGAGAGCTATACTTTTCAAATACAGATATGAGGCATATTATGGCTAAGGCCTATGTTCAGCAGTAAACATTTCATAATCATTACAGCCCTTCCCAATTCCACTGCTGAACATAGGCCTCCCCCAAGTAATATATCTGCCATAAGGAATATATCATATCGGCAAATCGAAAGTGAGTAATGTACTCGCCATTGATGTTGATACTGTATCCTTTCCAGTCCAGTAGCTTGAATACACCTCTCTGCAGTTGGATAGGTTTAGAACTCTGGTTCTGTACACGGATAGCCATCGTAGCCCTTCTGTACAAACACTTCAGCACTTCGATATACCGACAGTCAACTTGGCACCGCTGAAGGGACTGTAGCATCGTCCAAATTTCGACGGAATCAAATGCTTTCTCATAGTCCACATACGCCAGGCGAAGTGGTAGATTATACTCTTCGGTCTTCTGTACAATCTGCCGCAGCGTATGTATGTGGTCTATGGTACTGAAGCCTTTTCGGAAACCGGCTTGTTCGGGAGGCTGGAAGTCGTCGAGTCTGCGTGCGAGACGATTCGTAATGACTCTCGAAAACAGCACGTAGACGCGGCTCAGAAGGGAAATCGGTCTGTAGTTCTTCAAGAGAGCGTTGTCGCCTTTCTTAAAGAACAAGACCACCGCACTTCTGCTTCACGCCTCTGGAGTAGTGCCACCATGGAAGACGGAATTGAAGAGCTTCTGAAGGACTTTAAGTACCGGTGTTCCACGCGCTTTCAGAAGCTCCGCTGTAATTCCATCCTCGCTTGGGGCCCTGCCGATTTTAAGGTGCTAGAGAGCTATTCTAATCTCGCTTAGACTGACGTCCAGGAAATCATCGGAATAGTGTCGTATAAGAGTTGCTGTTGGATCGTTACTCACACTTGCGTGTGGCTCCAACGATGATGTGTACAGCTGCCCATAGAACCTCTCAATCTCACTCAAAATCTAAGGTGTCCCGGAAACGATGCATTTGGAGATCTGTCTGTTCAGTTGCCTGTATGCTGTCAAATCTGTTGACGATTGCAGCCTCATCTTCCGTCTAACAGCCATGAGATTAAGAGTGTGATCGGAGAGTTTTTGTGTTCTTCTGCGGCGGGTCTTGCAGAACTTAGCTCCGACCGCATGGACAGTTTCCACGAGCTTGTCATTCATATCGTCCCCTGCATTGCAATCTTCTAGGCACTAAAAGCAGTTACGTAGCTCGAGCTGAAAGGTTTCATGATTCTGGATTAGAGCACGAGGGGGACGGAGCTTTGACTTCATTAGACGAGACCTCTCCAACTTAACGTTTAGGTTCAGTGTGCCTCTAACCATTCGGTGATCGCTGCCAGTTTTCACCCTTGCGATCACTCACTGATTGACTGACTCTTGTCTTCATGTACTCATCCATTATAGCCTACAATAGTTCACTGATGAACATAGGCCTCCCTCAAAGAAAGCCTCATGGCGGAGGGGTGGGGGGTTCGCCATAGTTGCCACTCTTGGCATGCGGATTGGCACCCGCAGTTTTTTATTATTTTGAGTTGTTATCAGGAAGATGCTGCTGCCCATCTCCTGGTTCTTTTTCCCTCTGAGGCCTATTACGACGCCCTCAGGATGATATGAGGTACTTAGTGGATATTCTTACACCTAACCGACACTACACGGTTATTGTGAGGTTAGTAGAAGCCAATATTAAATACCCGATAATAGAAACCAATGTTCAATGTTACGGACAGAAACTTTATTTTATTTATAAACGGAGATAATTTTTGTAGTAACAACGTTCTATAATAATAATATAATAATACTCGTAAATACATAACTTACTAGTTCATGTAGTGCTTTATCGCTATCGGAAATGCGTTTATTCGCCATTAATGTTAATATTATTTTTAGTACTTCAAACAAACATAATAACTTAGTTCTTCGTGTTTCGTTAAATATTAGAAGATTTGCAAAATTCTGTACCATGTTAGTATAGGTAAATATGATTTTATGAGTATTCATGTGTGTATATTGTACATTAATTTGTTTTAAATACGTCACTAGCGATCTGCCCTGGTTTCTTCCCAATTTCTAGATCTCGATAACAGCGTTATTTGATGGCTCCAACAATAGCAAAGAACAATCCAGATGGCACCGTTACTACCCCATATATTTTTTTATTAAAATCGGTCTAGCTGATTCCAAGACGTGAATTACAACACCGGAATTTGACATATTATGTAAGATAAACATTGAAATGTTAAGCAAAATAAAACTCTATTATAAATTTATTAATAATAAATGTGCATTTATTTACTCTTTCAATTTAGTCTCAACATAGTTAAAGTATGGACTATGTTTTAAGACTATGAACTAGGGAGAAGCCCGTATTACGATCACAAGGGTCTTCCCCTCAGGATACTATCAATATAACATAACAAGCGATTTTTACAATAAGAAATATAAAACATCGTAATGTAGAAATAATAATTTTATGATATGGTTCTAAGTTGTTTTTGTGTTAATAGCCGAGTGCGTGGACGTGTGCGTTGCGTTTCCGTGTGCGTGTTGGTGTGCGAGTTCGCATGTGCATGTGCATTATTTTTATTCTCCAACAAGCACTTTCAACTGAAATTAACATTCTAATGGCGTCTATGGTGATTGAACTCATATTTGCAATTTATACGTGCTGTGAGTAGGTAAATTTAAATAAACGACCGCTCATTGGCTTTAAATAAACAGAAGATTAGTGTGATAAAAATTATTCTTTTTTTACGAAACTGTTTCGTGCTGATAAATTATTTCAAAGATTTGATTGTTCATAATATGATTATGATATGACATTAACTGCGTAAATAATATTTAGATATTGTTTCGGTACGATTTTATTATTGTGTTATTCTGTATTGTTATAATACAGGTTATAAATTGATATTAAATAATTAGAATAAGAGGATCAGCTACCCCATCACGTCCCATTGATGTGGTACGTATCATATGGGAGAAAAGAATATATTTATTATTATAACAATTTATAATAATAAAGATATTCTTTTCTCCCATATGATTTAATTTCCTCTATGATGCAATCTATGGGAGAGATCTGTGTTGATATGCTAAAATGAGGACGATGATGTAAAATAAGTTGATTGAAATGCAGTGATTTCATATAAGTGAAATAGTGAATCATTTTCTTACCGAAACAAATAATTAAAGGTCAACTACATATGAACGCCAAACACCTTAGTCATTGTTGAGCATTGATGCTAGAAAACAGTCGAAAAATCAGGAATTTATACAACATAAACAAGTGCTTTATTAAATTAAATAATTTTTATTTCTAATCAAGATTCCTAAAACGGATCTAACATTTTAGTACAAGATATAGTTTTGCGTTACAATGACTACATATTATATTTGATCGACGCTGTTTTGAAGCCAAGTTTAATTACTTTTCAGAATTATGTCGCCTTCACCATCCCATGTACTGTTACAAGCCTGCTCTGAGATAACATTAATTTGGAGTTTAATAACCCCTCTAGCACCTTATGGCTTCAGAGATTAGCTTCTACCATTAACTTAGAAAATAAACCCAATTTTAGATTAGTCCATTACTAAATCATTTGGCTTAGTATTTCGAAATATCAACTATTCCCACATATAAGGTAATCTATGGGAACGGCCAATGTTCAACAGTGGACTTTTGATAGGCTTTAACGATGACGATATTAATTATTCGGTTTTTAGTAAGAGTAAAATTTGTACACCTGATTAATAAAGAAGAAATAAGAGAATTGTAAATCCTCACCTGTTCATAGACTAAAACTTTAGAAATCTTACCTTTTCCGATTAAAAGTGCTCGTTGCTGAACGTACATTTTATTCAAGAAGCTGCTCTTTTCACTGATTTATCGCTATAAATCTCGTAATTATTTTTGGGTTATCTGGAATAAATAGCTATGTTGCAATAAGACCGTCTTTGTATTTTCCTTAATATTTATAATTATTTCTTAACAATTATAATTAAACACGTTAATCCTTTCCTTGCTTTACAATTAAAAGGATTGTATTGTATACGTTTATTTAAAATAAAGGCTAAAAAGAACCGGTAATTAAGACGCCGCGCCGTTCAGGGGAATATTCTAGCTGGTAAGCGTCTTATACGTAGTAGAACCATGCTACGTTATAGCTACGTTATAGTAGCAGCACGAATGAGTTGACTCGAGCAGGTAGTTCTTACCGGGTCGGATCACATTCTTACAGAATACCAGTATAATATGGCAGCCTAACGCTCTCGCGTTTTGTATGGCGAGTGAAAATAAGTCATTACATTAGAGTCCTCAGGGGTTACAATATTTCTGCAGTTTGATCCTTAATCAAAGAAAAATGTAGATATTTATGGGCCACAGTATTCACTTAGCCCAAGGTAGATGATAGACTGTGTTCTTTTGTTACCCTAATTCTATGAAAAATATATACCTGTACATATATTTATAATCTTCTCGTTTCTGTAAGTACTGTTTTAAATCAAGGAAAATAGAAACATTTAATGATACATAGATAAAGTAATCTGTGATAACTAATTATATAAAAGGTACAAAGACATGAAAATATGAATGGATGATAAAGTTAAGAATAGGTTATTTCATGTAACTTGAAGGAATTTCAACATATTTTAGTAATTTCGATTCATGCTTGAGTCATAAAACTATGATTACCAAGAACAAATAGCAAAAATGAGTCAAACATAATCAGTTTATGATATGGGAGATACGATTTTGTGACTAAGAAGTTTCTGACCAAGAAAGGAAATTATATTTAATTTTTATTTTAACTCTTTATTTCATGTCACAATATAAGGTTAATTTCCTAATTTCGTAATCTAATAAAAATTGTTTATTTTATTTTATTTCAGAGTAAACTATTTGGATTCAAAACAAGTGAATTTGAGAATGACACTTTAGAAACACACAATGAGTATAGAAGAGAGCACGGAGTACCACCGTTAATCCTCAACAAAGACATTTGTAAAGTTAGTCAAAAATGGGCTGAAGAATTAGCCAAAAAAGATGCAATGTCATATAGTCTTAACCAAAATTTTGGGGAAAACGTTTATTGTGGATGGTCACCAGATCCCAATGTAAAAATTAAAGCTCGTGACTGTGTAGAAAAATGGTATAGCGAAATTAAAGACTATTCATTTGGCAGAGAGCCCGAAATATTGACATGTGGACACTTCACACAGATAGTTTGGAAAAATACACGAGAGCTAGGAGTGGGAAGTGCCAAAAGTAAATCAGGAAAATTGTATGTTGTGGCTAATTACTTTCCCCCAGGTAACTACAGTGGACAGTTTGTGAAAAATGTTCTGCCACCGGGCGCCTTGCAGTTTCGATCAAGTTTAAGCAGTTCCAACACTTATAGTGAACGTAATATTTCAATAGGACCACCATCTCCAAGTCTTAGAAGCAGTAAAAACTTATCTGGGATAGCAACAGAACTAGTCACAAAATTTAGATCGGTGTCAATATCAGGGGAAAAATTTGAAGAAGAATTTTTAAGAGCCCACAACGAATATCGCAGGCGACACGGCGTTCCACCTCTGGAGCTTAACAAAAAACTTTGTAAATATGCAGAAGAGTGGGCTAAAAAACTTGCTAAAAATGGACAAGTGGAACACAGAGATCAGAACGAATACGGTGAAAATATATTTTACGCTTGGTCTTCAGATCCCAATTTTGAGGTTTCCGGTCGGGATCCTGTAGACAAGTGGTATAATGAAATTAATTTGCATGAGTTTGGAAGAGAACCAAACGATTTAAAGTCGGGACACTTTTCACAGGTTATATGGGAGGATAGCAAAGAACTAGGTGTAGGAGTTGCTAAATCCAAAGGTAGTCAAGTATACGTTGTTGCTTACTATTTTCCGCCCGGAAATGTCTTGGGTAGTTTTTCCAAAAAGGTAAAACCACCGATTAACTAACTTTATCATACAGTAAGTTTGTTACCAAAGATTTTAAAGATATTTCAAATATCTTTTATATACCTGCATTTAAATTACCTTATAAGATTTTTAAAAATTACTAATTAGATAATAATTAATAGACACATATTTGAATATCATTTAAATTAAATAGGTTTGTATAGTAAATAATAAGTAGTAGGATTTCTATACATATAATAAAAATGTAAATTTCTGATGTCTATACTTTTTATATTATTGTAACAAAATTGATTGACCCTCTCTAAAATTAAGTAATTGAGTACATTTCACTTGTTATGTCACTTTGTATCAATTTCTCGATTTTACAAAGAAATTGCTTTGCTTTACTCATAAAATACAGCCTAGATCCCTCCAGACATTGCTTTCTATCTTATTGCGAAGTTCAGCCATTGTAAAGATTAGCCCGGATAGACACATATACAGACAAATTTAAAAAAAAGTTATTCATGTCTTTATAGCATGAAAATAATTCCCTGAACCCGGGTCACAATCAAGGGGTGAGTAGCTACTTACCGTCGTTATCGTCTACACTGTTAGCTCGAATGACCACCACTCAAATATAAGATTTTTTTTAAATATATATTAAAAAAACCTATACTTTGAAACGTGTTAGCAGAGCTTAAAAGAGTATATTAAACTTTAATACAATACTTCAGTATTTCGTTTAAGTTTAATTTTCGTTTTACTTTAGTATTACGACATATTTCCTTATTTTTTAGTTTATATTTTGTCTAACTATAATTTATTTCGTGTGCTTGAGTGTTTTTAGACTGTCAAACGAAATCTTTTGTCTGTTGAAAAGTTTCTAAAATATGGATGCTGTCACTTTTTCGTTATATATCACTAAGTTTATGCTATTCTAATGAAAACGAAAAATTATTTATTTCTACTAGTTTTTACAGATTTTATGACGTATATTAACTTTATTTATATAACCGATGTTTCGAGCACTTTACAGCACCAATGGTCACATGGTGAGATGTTCAACGTCCAGAGGTCATAGTTAACCGCGGTTAAGACAGGTTACCATAGATCGAAACAAAAATTAATAACTTTTGTTCCGATCTACGCAGTATAAACTTATATTATTTTGAAGTCTTGCAGTTGTATGCTCAATTTACATCATTTTAACCTGTTAACCAAGCCTAGCTCACCTTCGATCGCGCAATACCAACCTTACGCCCGCCAAGTAGTGATCGAATTAGATCAGAATTATGTAAACATGTCTACCTATGAAAAAACTATTTTTTCGTTTTAAACAAAACCAAAGACACTATGCAATAGATATTAGTATCAAAGACAAAGATATGCTATTTTATTTTAAACCATAACCTGGCAATGTTTCTTAGAAAAAAAAAAAAAGAAATCACTCTGAACTTCCGGCGTTACACGTGTCACTTTGTTGAAGGTGCTCCGTCTTTTTTATAGAATTTTATATTTGTGTCTGGACTAAAAACGAAAGTATTATACTTTTTTATATTCCTTGTAATATAATGAACACATATATATATAATTTGTGGTATAAAAAGTGAAAAGTAAATTGCCAAAAGTGCTTCAAAATCTGGAAGGCCCATTATGGCGGCTGGGTCATAAATGTGGTATTTTTCACATTCTCATTTATTTTTAGTGTAAAATGTAAGTAAAAATAGTTTTCTTACATATTTCAAATAACTTGACGTTGTATTTATTTCAAATTCACACAAAACTATTTTAGAAATATTGTTCTAAATGTCACACAGATAAAATATTATTATTTAATTTTTTTTAATTTCTTTATATTTTAATATTTTGGTATGAGTAACGAATGGAAACACATAAAACATAAAAATATACATATTTCCAAACAATTTGATATAAATTTCTCCAAAAACAAAAGTGTAGAATTCAAATTAGTAGTAATTTTGTCACTAAAATTGAAGTATATGCTACTACTATGCTATACAGGGTAATTTACGTATTTTATTGCAATTTCTAGCAACCAAAAATAATTTTATTCGATAGTTTATACATTGAACAAGAATTCCTGTAAGTTTTATCCATAAATATTGTCTCAAAGTGAAAATATAGCAAAATTTGCAATATAGCAAAAAATTTGCTAACTTACAAATTTTCCCGCCAAAAAAGGTCCCGAGTGAACGGGAGTATAACATGGCGCGCGCTCGCTTGGCGAACAGGAGTAAATTTATACTTGTGGTAGGGTGTCCCACTCTTCTACAGCAAGAATTTCATAAACATAAAATTAAAAAAAAAGTAAAGAAACTTAGCTTATATTTATTTAATGAGGGTTTCGTGTAAAAGCGCGCGCGCGCGCGTGTGTGTGTGTGTGTGTGTGTGTGTGTGTGTGTGTGTGTGTGTGTGTGTGTCTGCGTGCGCATGTGTTCGTTTTTCTAAACGTGCTTGTGCGTGTGTGCGTTGTTTTATTTCTGCCACAAGCATGTAGTAATCAGCACTGTAAACATAAATTAACCGTTTTAATGGTGACCGTGGGATTGAACTCATATTTGCAGTGTAGACTTATTGTGAGTAGGTAAATTTAAGTAAGCGCATTATCTTTAAATAAAAATAAATTAATTGTTATACAAATTATTGTTTTAGTTTCTAAACAAGTACGTGCTGATAAATTATGTGAAGTAATTAATTTTTACAATAATATTACATTAACTGTATTTAAATATTGTATTAAGTATTTTACATAAATTGTATTTAAATATTGTTTCGTTATGATTTCATTATCGTGTATTTCTTTTAGCACTGTTTATTTATTTTTGAAACTGGTTATAAATTGATATTTAATCATTGCTATAGGCGAATCTGCTAACCCATCGCGTCGGATGTGGTTAGTAGCAATAGATAGCTACAGGGTGAAATAAAACAGATATGGGCAGTAGTATCTTCCTGATAACAACTCAAAATATTAAAAAAATATTTGCCATACGTGACAACTATAACAAATATCTCACCTATGATGAAATCTATGGGATAGGCCTTCGTTGACATGCTAAAATGAGTACGATGAAGAAATGTAATGATTTCATATTTTTATGGAAAAACTAAAATTGAAACAATTTTAATTAAGGACCAATTGCATCAGGATGCCAAACACCTCAGTCACGTTTTGTTCATTGATGATAGAAAACAGTCGATAAATCGTGAATTTATGAAACATAACAAGTGTTTTATTAAATGAACTAAGGTTTACTTCTAATTATGATTCCCAAAATGGAAAATTATTTAACACTTTGGTATAAGATTTACTTTTGCCTTACAATGACGAAACATATTTTGAACGATTACTATTATCTTAATTTGATGAAAGTTCTTTTGAAGCCAAGTTTAATTACGTCTCAGAATTACGAGTATGTCCTTCACCATCCCATGTACTGTTTTATGCCACCTCCGAAACAATATTAATTTGTAGTATAATAAGCTTCAGAGATTAGCTGCTAAAACTACCTTATAAAATAAACCTAATTAAATGTGTTTAAACTTCTTTACATTCCAGATTAGTCCATTATTTCATTATTTGGTTTTTATTGAATAAAACTAAATTTACGGATTCTATCGCGTTTATTTAACTGATTTTACTTATTTTTTTTTATTATTATTTTTTTTTAATTACCGACGTTTCGGGTGCTTTACAGCAACCATGGTCACGGGGGGGCCTGAGATGTTTGACGTCCCAATGTCAGTGTTAGCCCGGCTACCTTCAGTTTTTGTATATTAATTTTTGGTCCGATTTACGCAAAACGAACTTACAGTATCTTGAAGTCTTGCAGTGGTATGCTTGGGTTTGGGTTTAATTTTGTTAATTATAGGATCCCAAGCAGATGGCAGCACCCAACCATCTTCTCTATTGAAATTAAGATATTTTTAAATTTCAATAGCCTCGCGTATCATCCTTGGTAGGAATCGGTGTTCTTTTGCGAGGATTTGGGGTTTATCAAATCCGATGTAATGGTGGGGACGATCTTGAACATATTCACAGACTGCAGACTTCCCTGAGCGTCGGTGCTTCACGTCAGCTATATGTTCTTTCACGCGGGTTTTTATGGACCTTTTTGTTTGACCTATGTAAGAGAGACCACATTCACAATCTAATTTGTACACTCCTGCATCTTGTAGAGGGATATTACACTTGACGGATGGTAAAAATTGACTAATCTTCTTCGGTGGCTTGTAGTATGTTTAATGGAAGCTCGCTTCAAGATGTAGCCAACCTTGTCTGTGACTCCTCTGACATATGGTAGTACAGCGGGCACACGCTCGATTATGGCCGGCTTCACTCGGTCACTGTGACGTAGGCGCGGGATCCGAAGCTTGTTGTCTTGCAACACTTGCTTGACATGCTGCAGCTCGGCGGCCAGATGTTTTCTGTCACAGATCCCTCGTGCTCTCTGAAACAAAGATTTACCCACAGTAGCTAACTGTGGAGGATGATGGTGAGATTCACCATTTAAATATCGGTTGGTATGGTCTTTTTTTCTATACACAGTGTGACCAATTGTGTTATTAGGATTTCGAATGACTAAAACATCTAAGAAAGCTAAAGAATTATTTGCCTCTAACTCCATTGTGAATTGTATTTTAGAGTTTATAGAGTTAAGGTGGTTTAAAAATTCAGTTACTTTGTCAGATGGTAAAATTGTGAAGGTGTCGTCCACGTACCGCTTGTAGAATCTTGGATTTACAGGAGCAGTAAGAATGGCTTTCTCCTCGAAGTCCTCCATAAATATGTCGGCGACTATGGGAGATACAGGTGAGTCCATCGCCCCCCCATCTACTTGCTTGTAGAACTCTTCCTTCCACAATAGATAGTCAGATGTGAGGCAATGTTTGAGTAATACTGCATATTCAGCAGGCATGTTGTTATCTTCTGGCTTCCTAGTTACAATTGAGATGCAGTCTTCAATAGGTAGGCATGTGAATAGTGACTGAACATCAAAACTGACCATAGTTTCATTGTCAGCGAGATGTAGGTC